TTAGTTATGGCGAGAGATTCCCAATCTCCGTCAATTTTGAGTGGAGATTAATCGAGTATCGATCGACGAGAGTCCTAGGCTCGACTGGTATGGCTATCGGGGCGAGAGAGATAGAGTCCTTGCGAGGACGACGACAGTGTCGAGTTACACGTGATGAGAATGATAAAAAAAAGAAGAATAGCGGGGGAAAAAATTGGTAATCCCAGTGGATGAGTGGTATACAGTTAACTGGGAGTGAGAGACGGAGGATATCCCATTGACTTGAAGGACCTGGGGTTCTTGGCCCCAGGGACACTAGTCCTCGTCACAGTGGCTCGAATGAGCTTCTCCCGTTTCTCCAATCTCCATCGAACGTTTTGTTCTGATTAATTTTACCTTCTCTACTCATTTTTCCAGTGAGGAGCTTGGGTTACTTTTAATCAAGAATTAATCTGGTAGCAGACTTATCGGAGATGAGAGAACTCTTTTGCTAGTGTTTTTATGTTTGTTAGATTTTTTTTTGCCGTCTAGACGATGGGAAATGAAGAGTGAGTGAAAAAGTGCGTTTGGGATTTTTAGACTAGAGTTCGGGCTGCATTTTTGGTACACTTGTTGGAAATTTTTTATCAGAGTTACACTCAATTAGAAATGAGGAAAAAAATGAGAAATATTTTAACAGTTAGAAAATTAAATGATTGTTTGACCGACAAAGAAAGTGAATTTATCAACAAAATTTTCGAGTAATCAGTGCTGAGTTGTTCTCCCCATCGCCGTACAGAAAGAAGAAAGACGAGAAAAATGGTGAAACGAAATAGTCAATGATACGAAACGAGAACAAACGACGGACTCGTACGAAAGCCCTTTTGTTGTAGCTGGTGTTAGCCGGGTTGTTTTCCCTCAGTGCATGTACAGGTGAAAGCTAACTTTATTGGCTCAGGATTTTACTGACGACTGGCGTTACACACGCTTGTTAACACCACCACTCATGCAACACACATTCCCAGTCTGACTCACCCCATTGTTGCCCGACTGGCTATCACTGGAATTGCGGTAAACAACGAAACCGCATTAACGAGAATGTGACAAGAGGAACACAACACTTGAAAAGTTTTATCGACTTGGATTGATCCAGATTGGTTTATAGTCCAACGGATTTAATTATGTCGCTGTTGGGGGACTCTATGATGCGATTTTTTCAATAATTTTCCTTCCATGTTTGTTCCCATGCAGAAATAATAATTCCAAGATTCGGTTTGCATATTTCGGGGAGAATGTAGACATTTGCTAATAGTCTTAAAAATGTATCAAGTGAATCAATGTATCAGTTCCAATTATCAGAAAAACAAGTAATCCTCATCAATTTGCCCAATTGAATTCGACGAAACCTTGTTTCGTCCTGTTTCCAGGCGTCAGTTCAATTCAGTACATGTTATACTCAATGTTCCAAAATAAATCTCCATCGAAGGACTCTCAGTATTGATAAAAAAAATTCTCAAGTGCCCTTCTTCCCAGAGTTGCATAAAGCACCAACAAATGTCCCAACTTTTTCGAAAGTTCTATATAAACTGACCCTAGTATTTACCCCAGAATTTTTCACCTACGAGTTTAACAAATCTCTCCTTTACCTCATTGAACATGAAAATTCCATGAAAAATGAAATGACCTCGTCAAATAAAACTTTCTAAATACAAACCCCGAAATTGAAATCAACTCAAATAAATTCGAAAACTTCAATTTCTCAGTTGACGAATGCAATTGTTCTGAATTTAAGAACTCGCTTGTTCCTCGCTTGTTGTGTTTCTCCACTGTTAACTCCACATTAAAAAAAAATGAAACTGAAACCGAAATGAAATGAAATTCCCATATCTCGGAAAATATGACATTGAAATTTAATAACAACACTCCACCGTCACATCAGGCAAATTTCCCCCTTACCCACTTCACGACGGAAACTCAAACTTCCCTAGGAGTACAAAAAAAAAAAAAAACCCCGATGAACCATGGAAAATCTATTGCTTTTAATAATCCGAAGCAGAATGGAGAGGTACCCAGGATTATCTGCGAGTTTTCCAATATTCTACGTGTTCCATCTTCGCCTCGTTTCATACTGGGAGATGCACTCCCCTCCCCCTTCCCCTGCCATTTCCTCTCTCTCCATACATACACCAGCACACATCCATTGTTATCGTGAATTTTGGCAGTGGCCTGTGTTTACTCCGTTGCCTTCCAACCCCCNCTAGGAGTACAAAAAAAAAAAAAAAACCCCGATGAACCATGGAAAATCTATTGCTTTTAATAATCCGAAGCAGAATGGAGAGGTACCCAGGATTATCTGCGAGTTTTCCAATATTCTACGTGTTCCATCTTCGCCTCGTTTCATACTGGGAGATGCACTCCCCTCCCCCTTCCCCTGCCATTTCCTCTCTCTCCATACATACACCAGCACACATCCATTGTTATCGTGAATTTTGGCAGTGGCCTGTGTTTACTCCGTTGCCTTCCAACCCCCTAGAAATCCCTGGCTGAAAAATTGATGGCTAAACCCTTTTTCCCCTCTCTCCGTTTTTTTTTGTTACAACTGCGTGGAGGGAACTTGGCCAAAATATAACTCGATCTCTTTTCCACCATGTCACTTCTTCATCCCGTCATCTTGCCCCCTTGCCCCTTCAACCAAGTATATATCCATCAAACTGCATATATAAAGATATGACGAAAAACGCTCTACTGTCGAGTGATCGGAGAACCGAGCTCGCATATTTCAATCTCTTGTTCATTTTTCCTCATTTCTCACTGACCAGAGAATACAGGGGGGAGAGGAGAAGAGTCATCAAAATCCGAGTATTGGTAGAGGAGAGAAGTGAGTTATCGGCAGGGAAAAATCTGAAAGTTGCACATTAAACTGTGGAAGAATAACCCGGAGTTGAAACGTTACCAGAATCTGCTGCTATTTTTATCCGTCAGCTCTTCCTCAATTTCTTATCTCGTATTATTTCATTTCTGGGTTCAATTGGTGAGTTTGGGTTACGCCCAGAAAAATTATCATTGAGATGACTAGAAAAATTAGTTTTATTAAAATTAAATAAAAATGATTCAATTGATGTGTTTTCTCTCATTTTATGGAGTGAATTGCCGAGATAAGGGCTCACCAGTCCCCATTATTGTCATCCAAACTCGTATGGGAATGTACGTGTAATTTATATACAGGGAAAAAGCATCAGAGATCGGATTGTGTTTAGCCGGCCGTATAATTGACTGTCGGGAATCTAAGAATTCGTGAAGCTCTAGCAAAGGTCTCAATCGCGTCTAGTATGAGTAGAAAAGAGTCGCCAGATTCTTTTGCTGACTCCTCCTCCTCCCCCCGCCGCTGCTTCCACTCAAAGATTTATCGGAAGGAATTGCAGAGAAGCTACGAGACATTTTCCGCGTGATTCCTCAGCGAAAGATAGCGCAGTTATTCCTCGATTCTTTCGGTTTTTCACGGAAAAACTGATGATAAATTCCCGAGATTTCGCATGGCAGGGGAACAATGGGAGAACGTAGCGGCCAACTCGATACGAAAACCCAATTCGCATTACGGATCGTTAGAGAGGGATTAAAGTAATTGTGAAACGCAGGTAAAAGGGATAAAGGAAATATCTCAGAGTCCATTCTATTTTCCAATCTCACGCGTATATACTGGTTCATTTAATTTTTCGCCTCCTTTGTCAATATCAATGCGGTCCAACGAGTTTTCTTATGGATAAAGAGACCCTTGCTTCAATTTTATTTTATTTGGTTTATGTTTCTATGTTTTTTTCTTTGTAATATTCGATTGTACAAATTGAATTTAATTTCCAGAAAGTTCGTCACTGGAAATTGAAAATTGAAAATTTAAGTAAATATATTCCTGAAAATTGTTCCTGATCAATGGCAGAATGGTACTCTGTCAATATCTTTTAAAATCAATATATTTCAAAATTGGAATGATCTTTTTTTCTATGAATTATTGAAAATAATCAGTGGAATGTGTCTGTTAAAATTTCACGAATTCATGGCTTTGGATGAATCGGACATTAATTTTATCCATCCCACAATTTTAAACGGACTCCATCGCCATGTTTGACCATTAAGAACGAAATTTCAATTGTATATGTCAAATTTCAGATAATCAGTAGAATGAATTCATTGCATTAATTCTCTGTGAAAAAAAAAACTATATTTCTCCCTCCACCTTGTAATTTTTATCTCAAACCTCGCAATCTGACTCTCCAATAGCCCAGATACTCATCTCCCCGAAAAATCCATTCCACCAAACGACACTCCATCTCCATGTTATTCCATAAAAAAAAACCTCGAATCATTCACCACAAGTACACACAGTCGACTATAAGACTTTACAAGCCACCAATTCCCATTTGCTGGTGTATCTGAAGCCACGCCAAGCCCATCTCAAGCCCCATCCATTCTCCATCTCTCAAACGTAACCAAACGTAAACCAAACGAGATACAGAGCATGTTCGTTTGATACGTGTACAGCTTGAAGCACACGTTTCTCATGCCCCATGAAACGTAGCTGGAGTTTATCCAGCCCGTCCCCTCTCCAAGTCCACATAAGGAATATCCACAGAGCTACCAATTCCAAGACTGCCATCAAATAAAAACGACACCCATACACACAAATAGCGAGCCACCGCCAACCGCCAGCCGCGAATGACAGTTTCTCACTCTCTCGTGTCTCCTTGTGTGGAGCCTTTACTCGACGGCCAAATATACGAGCCACGACCTCGCCTCGCCTCGCCTCGCATTTCCTAAGTAAATAACGTCTCTACGTTTACCCATCCAACTCATCCCGCATACAATTCCCCTATTTGGTTGCCTCCACTGTCATCTACTTCAAACGCAGTGGGGATAAAGCTTGAGTTGGAGAAATTGGAATTGCATGCGACACGCGTTTCCAAAAAAATTACTCGTTTCAACGCGACCAATTTGAGATGAGCAAATACTTTTTCAAGCTGGTTCAAGGTCATGTATTTTCCACTCACCTGTCACTTTGATGTGATAAGGCAGCTGTGCCCTCCACGTATCCTGTAATTTTCTATCTGGTGCCACACATCGATACTCCCCAGCGTCTTGATACACAACTCTCCCCAAAACCAATGCACCAGGCCCCCCAGCAGGCTCCATACCTGACCCATGTCCCCAACATCCACCATCACACTCAAGCGTAACAGCACCACCAATTTGTACTTCCACTTTTCTCGAGTCTGTCGCCTCGCCATTTAGCGCCTCCGCCTCCAGCTCCGAATCCGGATTTACTGTGAATGGGGGGAAAAATTATTTTCAATTTTAACTTGTCGAGAGTCACTGGCAGTCTCTCTCTCTCTCTCTCTCTCTCTCTCAGTGTAATTCAGATATTTTTAAGGATTTTTAAGGAGAGATGGCCAAAAAACATTGGCAATGCCAATGACAACTGCTCTGGGAGGGGATTAACATTGTGATTGTTGAAATGTTGATGAAGCAGGTGGTGAAGCACAAGGAACTGGAGTTTGAAAATTTTCATCACATTATACATTATAGTTTGACTGATGATTAAAATTTCAATGTTTTTACTTGTTTTTTCTACCACTGTATTGCTCCACTTGGCGTAAATTAATTCCGCAAAACGATCTCCAAGAGCTCGAGTCCCTCAAAATTAATCTATTGCCTGGAGGTTTAGACCCAGAACAGAACACGTGCTAAATCTTAGCCCACCAAGTTGGTCGATCACTCTGGTCGTTGGTTACGTGATACGTATGTATTATGTATATGATACATATTTTCCACGAGTGTCTATATACACTTGGAGGATTGTCTGTCGTACAGCTCTCGTCTCTGTCATCTATATCCTCAAGGAGATGAGCGATATCATGTTCACTGGTCACGTACCAGGGATAAACTTTGGCGTATCGTCTTCTCCTGTGTGGATCTATCACTACTATCTGAGCGCAGTTAGTACTCGGTGTTTGGTGTTACCGAAGGGAAAAAAAAAGGCCAAATCCTGGCAGCATCAAGACATATGAAAATCCCTCTCATCAGAATTACAAACCATCGATCGTTAGTTCTTTGAAGACTCACTTCTTTATCATGCTGAGGACGGCCATGTGCTAGGAGTGCATTCATATCCTGACATCAGAGCATCAGAGTCATGGGGGTGAAAGAGACCGTGAGAAGAAAAAATATATCTTACAAAGGGAGGAATGGAGGAGGACAGAAATGTGTGGAGAAGAGTATTTCAAAGGGAAAGAAAATGACGCAATGGAGTTTCTTGGAGGCGAGTTGAGTTTCTAGGTATTCTGAATTATGTGAGAGAAAAATACGTCTGTCGGGTCATGATTAAATCTGAGTAATTGACGAGACAATGTAATATTGATTCATGTTTCATGTTTGTCAGTGAATATCCTTTATGATCCTTCCTATTAATAGTTCTAGCTGAATAAATCAGTTGGAAAATTCTGATAAATCAGATTCTACTTCACAATAAAGTTGGACTGAATTTTCCTGATTTTTATCAACAAGACTAGCTGAATGTATTCAGCTAAAATTAACTATCGATTGAACTCTCATAAATAAATTAGATCCAGTCCTTCACGCCATGCAACTGCAATAAATCCTTCACCTTAACAATTCTACATGAATAAATGCAATGCATGGCAATGTTATAACAGATCGTTGCCCTGAGGTCATTGTTCATGTTAACTTGCAATATATTTCTAAAAATATATGATGAAAGAGTTCTCTTGTACTTGACAATAATGTTAAACTAAAGTTTCTCATTTTCAATCTCATAAATAGATGCCAGATCGAACTGCAATAAATACTGCAATACTTGTCACCTCTGAATTGACAATTCCTTCCACATGAATAAATCATGCCAATGTTATAATAGACATCCCATAGCTGTCGTAGGGTCGTCGGGACGGCATCATCGGCCATGTTGCACGTTAGAGAGGATAAGTAATCCTCTAGTATTCGAGGGAGGGGGGGGGGGCGGGTGACGTTGAACCGTGTAATCGATGATTACCATGGCAGAATGAGGGAGGGAGCCGGCCAAATTGCGGAGAGATTAGGCGATCGGAAACTGGCAAACCCGGATGATCAGAAGGGCGAGAGGATACCAAATGTGGGGAGGGACACTGGGAATAGCACGTTTGGATAAGGCGTCGAGTGGTGAGGATGACAGAGTGAGATGGGATGAGCTGTTATACAGACCCTGCTTAGGAGGTGTGTTGAATCATAGTGTGGAGGGGCAGGCGAGATAGGGAGGGATGAAACAGGGGCAAGTTTCATTCCAGAATTCACGGAATAGGCGACTGCGCCAAAATGCCAGATGGTCTGACGCCCGGGGTTGACTATACAAGAGAACGACAGAGTGAGTGAGAGAGATGGATAGATATAGGAAATTTGCAAATTTTCGCAACGAGATGCGAATAATTTCCGGACNGGGGGGGGGGGGGGGGCGGATGACGTTGAACCGTGTAATCGATGATTACCATGGCAGAATGAGGGAGGGAGCCGGCCAAATTGCGGAGAGATTAGGCGATCGGAAACTGGCAAACCCGGATGATCAGAAGGGCGAGAGGATACCAAATGTGGGGAGGGACACTGGGAATAGCACGTTTGGATAAGGCGTCGAGTGGTGAGGATGACAGAGTGAGATGGGATGAGCTGTTATACAGACCCTGCTTAGGAGGTGTGTTGAATCATAGTGTGGAGGGGCAGGCGAGATAGGGAGGGATGAAACAGGGGCAAGTTTCATTCCAGAATTCACGGAATAGGCGACTGCGCCAAAATGCCAGATGGTCTGACGCCCGGGGTTGACTATACAAGAGAACGACAGAGTGAGTGAGAGAGATGGATAGATATAGGAAATTTGCAAATTTTCGCAACGAGATGCGAATAATTTCCGGACGGCTCCGCGGTTTCCTCCCTTGACAAATCACTGTGGTTTTCCCATTATCGAGGAGAGTCACCACACAGACAAAACAAAATACCCGGCATTTATATTTTTATGGGTAATGATAAATTACTGGTGAATCAGTGGTCACTCCACTTGACTGGACAATCGTTTTGTGGAATTATTTTAATGGAAGGAAATTGTTGGATATTTTCCGAGCACCGAGTGAAATTAATGGACGTGGCAATACATATTTCATGGAATTGATCGATAAATTGTTCGACTGATGGTGAATTTGGATTATTATCACTCACATCGCGCATGGAGGAAGTATCCGATGCTGGAGAAAACCCCTGAAATGTGTCTCGTGTAGCACTTGTACCAGCCACTGTCATTTCTACTGATTTTCGTGAAGTTTAGCCAGCCATCGTCACTCTGCTCCACTGGTGGTGGCCCATTATCTGCAACAATAATCTTGAATCATCATTTCCGTTACACTAGAAAAATTGGAAAAATTCGTTTTATATTCTTTATAAAAATTATCATGTCTTATAATGGTATATACATTCTGAATTATGAATTTCACAAATGACTAGTTGAAATGGGAAAAAAAAATTCTTAAATTTTGTATTGTCTATCTGGAGTCAATTTTTTATAATAGAAAGAAAAAACATTAGTTTTTACAGTGCGGCATGGTAAAATGCCTTGAATTGCACCCTGCGGAGACCCTTCTGACAAGTCTTTCACCGTCTTTCATTCTCCTCTAAATTTTGCTCCATAAATTTTGCAGCATTCAACCATCTGTGATACTTCGTAGTCAATGTATTCACCCACAAATATGGGACAATTGCATATATATATTGTGTATGGATTTTATAGAGCATTGTAACAAAGTTTTCAGGGAGGGAGGGATATAAAATCGAGAGGATCGGGGGGAAGGAGAAAACTTTTCGTCGCATGTTACATAAGAGCTATCTATCTGGAACGAAAGTACACTCTGGCGTGGGTTGACTCGATTGTACTAACGGTGTCTGTGTAGGGGGTGCATGTGAAGGTATATACCGAGGCTGCTTTGTCACGGATGATACAGGACGGCGTCATGACTTGGCAGACGGGCAAAAGAGGATTTTTATTTTTTATTTCAATGCTCTTGGCTTTTTTTTTAGGTTCAAATTTTTGTTTTATTCTGTTCGTTGAAAGGAGCTGCAACGTTTCCTCCACTTTCCCCCCGACAATTTGGCCGGGGGACAAACGAATCGGGGATCGCATTGCCACTCTGATTCATCTCTCTCTCTCTCTCTCTCTCTCTCTCTCTCTATTTCTACGTTTGGATGAATCTGTGCCAGAGAATATTCTCGTGAATATTGCAAATGTGCATCAGCGAGATTTCGGCAAGGTGATAATAATTCTGCTTATTTTGCTGGTGTTGGATGAGAGATGTTAATTTCTTTGGATATTTTTTGATACATATGAATGATTAGACATCATTAGAAAGCAATGGGAAATGTGTGAATTTGATACTTACCACGTTGCCACACTGGTAAACTTGACGGATTGCTGTCTACTTCGCATTTCAGACTAACGGATATCCCCTCGACGATGGGTATTCCAAAGCCGGGTAAGCGCGTTATTGCGAATGACGGAGTATCTGAAATACGTATCAAACAATTAATGTCACAGAACTGTCAATAATTAGCTCGCGCAATAATCTGTCCAACACTTGTCCCCCAAATTGAACGATGAGCATGGCGCATCAAATTTCCCCATTCGAAAATTGTACAACCTGACCCACTTTCCACTCCCTGGCGCGCTAATGTTTTTTTCCATTGCATGCCACTATTCATCAGGAGCAGCTGGCAAAAAACTCAAGCAGCATTTCTGATCAGGAAAATAAGGCTCGCATTGACCCACTTCTATTCCCCAGCGGTGTAATCTATTGTTTTAGCAATTGGAAAACAAAATCGATATCCTTCACAGCGAGAGGACGGCTTCTTCTCCTCCGGGCGTTCTAATTAAATAATGTACTTGGTGATGTGGTTTGTCGCGATTGGAACCACGTTCAATTGGAGTGGCATTCCAGCATTCCAGATGTTACCCGCAGCTAGTGAGTTATTCAAAAGGGATCATAATGGCGCATGGGACAATGCGAGATGAAAGACAAATTAAATGGCAAATTTTTTTTCCCCTCCCCAAATTGACGAAACGATATTTATTTGTAGTGTCTCAAATTAAAACACGAAGACATTGAGAAATTACTTGCAGATTTTTTATTTGAAAATTATGAATTTGTATAAATTGGAAAATAATTAAACGTCAGGGAAAATGAATAAGTAAATGCCGCAAATGATGTTCTTTCAGGACCAACATTTTCTCAATTTTTTCAATTGCCTACACATCATTGGATTCCCATGATTTTTCACACTATTTTCCAAGTTACAACAATCTCATCCATCGTTCCTCAACAAATTCACAGCCATGACCACTCTCTCGGTGGCACCTATTATCGTTACCACCTGTCACTTTGCATGTCACACGAATCCCCATTTTCGTATCACCCAAAATTGTCTCTCTCCTCCCGCACAAACTTATCCTGACGTCCATTACAATCTCATGTCACTTTCCTCCACTCCCACACGTGAAATTACCGTGTACCCGACTGACTGATCCCGTGCAATTTTCCAGCATATTACCCCATCCCCCATTGGTACACATCATCTCGTCAATCCACCTCATTATTAACTCATTCGAACTTTGTAATCGATCCACTCCCCTCTGTGTTACCTCACCTAAAGTCCAGTTTAATATTCTCCTCACAAGATTATCCTTAATGTTTGCAAATTGTCACTGAAAAGTTGTGTAAAACTCCTCAAAGTCTTTTTCTCGAGCGATTAAAGTTTACCCAAGCATTTTCATACTTTCTTTTTAATAATAAAAAATATGCATTGGAGAGACAGGTCAACTTGTTATGGAATTCACCGATTTTCCTCCTTTTTTCATTCTAATGGTACGTTTATAAGCTCATCAAATATTTATGAATCATTAAGAGCAATTTTTAATCGCTTTCCAATGTAGAAGAGAGTAGAACCTTCTGTCTTGGAATTCAATTATTTATTATTCATAAATTGTTCAGTCAGATTTCGAATCGATTCGCCAAGAATATCTCACACCATCATTGTCGCTGACTGGAATTGCCGCCAAAGTGAAAAAGGAAGAGAAATAGTCAGACACACGGGCATCATTGTGAAAATGAAACAGGAGAAATAACAATGGACAACGGGAGAGTAGAAAAAAATGAGGAGAGGGAGAGCGAGAGAGAGAGAGAGAGAAGAGTGAAAAACACAAGCAATCAAGGGGAACTCGTTGTCAGTGGCACGCAGAAGGTATACACCAGCGGATAAATCCGTGCAAAGCACGAGGAATATAATTGTGGACAGAGAAGTGACGTTCTACCTCACTTTTTGTCTCATTCCCTCCCCCTCTGCCTCCCTCCGACGAACGTGTGAGTCCAGGCGGAAAGAAAATCGCTGTCGCGTCGCTTTAATGAAGTGTCGTCCACACGCCATTCTCTTTCTACGTGCTGGAGGAATAGGGAAGGCCAAGGGAAACCTGTACATGTATCTAGTACACAGAAATTACTGCAACTAACAGCGCGTGAAAGTAAAAAAAAACAATAGTTAGATTAGTTAGAAATGAAATGAAATGAAATAATCGCCAAAAGGACAACTCCAGATTGGATGGAAAGTAATTTGTCAAATTGAGACATTGTAATCGCCCCCTGTTGCAAAATATCTACATAAAGCCGAAAAAAATTGAGTAGTTACTCTCAAGTTCAGAAAGCTCCCTCAATTTTCAAGGAGCTTAATAACAACAACCAGTAGCGTGTCAGTACTCAATGTCAGAAACATGTTCCCCACCACCGTGAAACATGGGAAATGCCCCAATATTAAATTAAACTTGAAATTCTTCACCGAATTTCTCAGTGCAGCAACCACTCCTTTTGATCCACGTTAATTGAAATATTTTCAGAATATCAAACTTGAGGCACTAATTACCTGAAGGAAAAACAAATTTGTTGGAAGAGAAAAAAAAAATGGAAATACATCAACAGTTGACTTGTCATTGGGGGAAAAAAATTTTTTGAATCAGTTCACTCCGAAACGAGATGACAATTTACTATCTCCTCCGAGGAAAGAAGAAATTTCACGTGTGATCGTAAAGAGAAGACGACTCTCCCTTGCCTGAAACTTGGTAAAGGACGAGGTGAGTCTATCAGATAGCCGATAATAGGATAGATCGGCACACTGGGTTTCAGTTTATACAGCAAATTTTACGACAAACGCCATCATGGTGAAGTACGCTGGCAATGTAAAGAGACTTGGCTTTCACTGGAGTCTAAATTATATTTTCTCTCTCAATAGAATATTTCCCTTCAAGGAGCCTGAAACTTCATATAATTGCAGGGATAGAGAGCAATGAGATGCATAAAATACACGACGAATACATCCGTTTTATTTCGGATCACTGGACTGATTGCACGTGACACAATAAAGAGAGGAGAAATCTGCTTGTACATTGTATATGATGACGTCTAGGCGTACACACCAGTCTGTTAACGAGTCGCGTCCTGTATAAATTTCAGATGCAAATCGCTGATGGCTGAAGAGCAGCTGGAGGTTGACGCGTCTTATCGGATCCCGTTGACATCACCCGGGCTAAGTCACCCTCTGCACTGTCTGCCGTATCAGCTCCGAGGAGAGGAGGGGGGATAGTCTGTGCACATTCCCGAACTGTCAATATATATTCCAAGCACTCGAGGACTTGTCCGGAAAACCAATTCAAAGGGGATTTCTCTCGCTCTCCTTTTTTTCCCCCTCTTGTTAATATTATTCCTCACTTTTGGTTTCATGATTGCGTGTCGATCACACTCGTCGTCGGAATGGAGTTATTTCCTTTTTATAAGTAAGGGTGTGATTCATGAATTGATTGATTTTTTTGAAATAAAGAGAGTTTGAAATTAAAGTAAACCACTTTTTCTCTTGTTTCTCTCAATTTTAAAACGTATTAAAGAGATTAGTTTTTACAGCGAATTGATGATTAAAAAAAGTAATTTAAGCAATGTAAAAAAATATTGCACAAGTTTTTTTTTTAATAAAAGAAGGTAAACATAATTGTGATGTCATTAAAATCTCTTGTTACCCTGAAGTTTGTCTTATCTTACAATATAATTATTGAGAGCTTACGCAACATCGGCTGATAGTTAAAGTCGATGGTTAAAGTAAAAGACGTTAAACTGAGTAACGTAAAGTAAAGCTCAAGTGAATAGTGAAATGAAATGAGATACCAAACTGACGGATACCGAGCCGCCAGTGGGGAGTGGAGCTTTAAGTTTCCACTTAAGGGATAGACTCACTAAGCCGTGCGAGTAGCTTCCGGCTAACACTTTGAGAAACATGTAAATGGGTATTAAACTCGGCAACCCAAGACGCGACATTTTCATCAAGGATGAGAAAGTTTCTGTGATTTACTTTCACAAACTCATTTCAATTTATTTCGCAATGCACCCGATGCACCCGGGATATTCTTATCAACAATTATTCCACTCAGCAATTGGTTATCTCAATGCACTTTGTGTCAATTCTTTCTCTCGTGCTGGTGAAGAATATTGTTTGGTTCTTTCAGTCTATTTCCTGGCCGGGACTTGTTTTTTCATTTCTTATTTGAAATGCCGTGATGTCGAGAGGTCGTTCGATCCCCGTCGTGTACAAACAGTGGTGCACACAACTGGGGAGAAGAGATTGCCATGGGTAATTCTGTTGAGGAAAAATCACCGACAATTTCTCATTTCTCGTGGAAAAACTCGTACGGGTTTTTGATAGCGAGTTCATGATACTCGTGAGTTACGAGAACGATGTATTGCTTCCAAGTTTCACACTTGTCAAATCATCAAACTGTTTATACTTGTTCGCCTCTGACATTGTCATCGACAAAGGGCTGCTCGTAAATCAATTACGAAGAATCCTTCGTCTCGGCTGTGGGAAAAATGCCACGTACTATTCACCAACTTTGGGGGGGTTCTAACGTCATCAGCAAACTCACACCATCCCAAGAACTTGCCTGTCTCTAATCCCACAATTCCCCCACCCCAAGAAAATATCGGAAAAATAGATTAACCAACTTTTCCGAATTAATGACAAAGAAAGTTGAATCATCGTCATTTGACCACATAACACACCCGAATCGAGGATTTCGTTCTGATTGGACGTAAACAGGTCTTTCAAGATCTCTCCAGACCTAGATGGACCTGGTAAGTCCTAATCAGTTCTGCGACGTACTTTTCCGGACAACTTTCGAATCCTCAGTTCTTTTCGGTCCTGAGAAGTCCTCTATGCCNTTCTGATTGGACGTACACAGGTCTTTCAAGATCTCTCCAGACCTAGATGGACCTGGTAAGTCCGAATCAGTTCTGCGACGTACTTTTCCAGAGACCATTCGAATCCTCAGTTCTTTTCGGTCCTGAGAAGTCCTCCTCGATGCTACCGAGAACGCGTGATTTTACGAGCGGGTGAAGGGGAAGGCATGTATGCGGAGGGTTGAAATTTGTAGCCAACGAAGAGACAGGGTTGCAGAATATATTTTAGCCACCCTCATCTCCCCGTTTGCAGGCAGTGTTTAAATAAAAAATAGTGAACGTTGATTTTGAACCTTCGGAGGTGACAGAAAAGACGAAAAAAAAAATTTTATTTTCACGTGGGTCAAGGCTCAGGGTGAAAGTCGATTTTCGCCAAAATTGAATTTTTTCGCCAAGTGAAGGTTGATTCTGTATTTTCTAATGATTCTGATGCCAATGAAACTCCCGGAGGCGCGACAAATGTCGAAATAGAATTTTTTTTTTTCACCCGGAGCCAAAGGGTCAGATTTTCGGGTTTTCCGGGGGG